AGCGAAAGTCGGATGCTCAACCAACTAAGCCACCCAGGCGCCCCAACTCAGTTGTATTTCTATACATACAATTCTGACACCAATTCTGATGTGTGGGTTTTCCCCCCACACCAAGCAATTCTCTGACGCCCACTGAGTGTCCTACAGTGCAACTCAATTCTGACACCATCTACCTGGAGAAAGCATCAGATCCCACGCTTACTGGCTCAGTCCCACCACACCGCCTGCCCTTCAGATGCCAATTGGAAGTTCAGGTTGTTACCTGCGCTTCTGACCAACTGGCTCTAAATCAGAAGTTCTAGAAGCCCCTTCAGTGGATTTGATTAATTTGGCAGAGCAAATCACAGCGTTCCGAGAAACATTTTACTTGCTGGTTTACAGGTTTATTATAAAACGTTAGATAAATCGGGAACGGCCATACGGAAGAGATGCAGAAAGTTATGTGTGTGAAAAGCAGACACCTTATTAGTGGTTTTCAACTCTGGTCTTTGAATCTCTTGTGCTCCACTCCGTCACAGACCGCGTCTCTCGCCAGCCAGGCCTTTCCACCCACAAAAGCAGTCTGTAGGCCTTCCTCTGAGCTTTCTATGCGGTTTTCCTTGATCTTGACACCTCAGTTAGGCCCAGTCACTACTTTTCAGTCTCCCCTTGTGTTAAGGCCACCGGGGACACTTCAAAGCTTCTTATTCACTCATTCAACAAACACGGATTGCTGCCTGCGATGTGGCTAGCATTGTAGGGGGGGGGAGGTGGAAGGGACTGTAAGCAGATGCCTGGACAGATCTTCAGAGGAAGTAGTATTGTCTGAGTGCTGCAGATGAAAGTCAAATGCTCAGAGGGCCAGGGTGAGCAGTGGAGGCGCAGGGTTGAGACTCTGGCAAAGAGAAAACTGTTTGCAAACGGTGAGCTACTCTTACCTCCTGGCCTCCCTGTGGAAATGCAGGCCTGGAACTGCCAGACCTTTTGGAATTTAACACAGAAGATGGAAATGGGGATTTTGCGTGAAATCTTTTGATTCACCAAAGTGAACAACTAATGAGATTCAGACGGTTATTTTCAACACCGAGCAGCCTAACAGCACCAAATCTGACGTCCAAGCTTCGGTTTGCAAGACTTGTGCTAAAAGGGTCTGCACATTCATTTCTGCTCTCGCCCAGCACAGGTCACCAGTGAAAACCTCCAAAGACAGTACCCGTCAGTGTCCTGCAAGCCCCATTAGGGGCGCCTAACCCAGCCCCTGGTGCGGAGCAAGAGCTCAGTAGGTGTTATTGCTGGGGCTGCAGAATATAGGTCCCTTGGTCACTCTTCAATTCTACAACCTTGGCTTCCTCCTGCCTGTGGAGAGGAGGGGCAAACCACCTGGTCCTGGCCATTGGAGGCCCTTCCTAGTCTGCCCCAAAGCACTTTCCCAAGATTCACAGAGGTGGAATAGTTATTATGCCATAATTGATCTGGCAGTCGAAGTACCTGCCCTTCCCCAGACTTTCCTCTTCTAAAAAGTCCATGGATCAATTATTTCACAAACACGTATTAAGCGCCTTCTGTATACGTTGGCTAGTGTTTGAATTTTCTAGGCCTCCTGCTTTAAATGCGTGTGCTGGGGAGGTGGGGGAGAGGTGTGTGGACACAAGGTGTCGGCTCTGGGAGAACTGCTAGCCGGAGGGGATTCAGTGGGCTGAAAAGAGTAATAATTTAAGTGATCAAACACACCACTACCAAAACCCACTATTTTAGATACTCGAGTGCCACCTCCTGAGGGACTTCTCTAATTACTGCAGATAATATATTGGTTCCCAATCCGGGATCAGCCAGAATTCCAATTCGGGTCTTCTAGGTGCCACCGAACCTCTGGTCCCCTTCCTATCGGAAGGCAGAAAAGTACACACCTCACCTCGTGTAAAACGCGACCGACGAGGATGGGATTCGAACCCACGCGTGCAAAGCACAATGGATTAGCAGTCCATCGCCTTAACCACTCGGCCACCTCGTCCCACGTAAAGCACCCCGTTCCATACGCCCTTATCTCTCATCTCTTCCGCACCTTCCGAGCCTTCAGCATCCATTCCTCAGCGTGGATTTCGTAGGTGCCAGAGGAAGGAGCGACGGCGAGAGGAAAGGGGCTTTTTGTGTTCCTTCCCGCGCGCCGCAGCCGCGAACCCGCGCCACCCTGCACCAAGTTGCAACCGAGCTCTGCCACGGTTGCCCCTCCTTAAGGCGGGGGCGTGCGCGCCGGGGTGTCGGAACGCGCCTGGTCCAGGGGGTCGCGCACCGACCTGGAGGGAGGGGTGCGTATCCCTGGGAACCCGGCAGGCGCGGCCGCGGGCACTTCAGGGTTTGCGGAGCGCGGCGCGGCGGCGGATGCAGTAGCTCCTCCCCGCGCGCAGGGGGCGAGCTGGCGCACCCCGAGCCCCTCTCGCGAGGGGATGCTACGCGGGGCTCGGCTCGCCTCGGCTCGCTTCGGCTGCGCTCGGCAGGCTGCGGTAAATCCGGGCTTGCGGCGGCTGGCAGAGGCTGCGGCCCGGTGGTCCCTGCTGCGCGCTCGGAGCCCCGAGAGCCATGCAGATGTCCTACGCCATCCGGTGCGCCTTCTACCAGCTGCTTCTGGCCGCGCTAATGCTGGTGGCGATGCTGCAGCTGCTCTACCTGTCGCTGCTGTCCGGGCTGCACGGGCAGGAGGAGCAAGACCAGTATTTCGAGTTCTTTCCCCCGTCCCCGCGGTCCGTGGACCAGGTCAAGGCGCAGCTCCGTACCGCTCTGGCCTCTGGAGGCGTCCTGGACGCCAGTGGCGACTACCGAGTCTACAGGGGCCTCCTGAAGACCACCATGGACCCCAATGATGTGATCCTGGCCACGCACGCCAGCGTGGACAACCTGCTGCACCTGTCGGGCCTGCTGGAGCGCTGGGAGGGCCCGCTGTCGGTGTCGGTGTTCGCGGCCACCAAGGAGGAGGCGCAGCTCGCCACAGTGCTGACCTACGCGCTGAGCAGCCACTGCCCTGATATGCGCGCCAGGGTCGCCATGCACCTTGTGTGCCCCTCGCGCTATGAGGCCGCTGTGCCCGATCCCCGGGAACCGGGGGAGTTTGCCCTGCTGCGGTCCTGCCAGGAGGTCTTTGACAAGCTGGCCAGGGTGGCCCAGCCCGGGATCAATTATGCGCTGGGCACCAATGTCTCCTACCCCAATAATCTGCTGAGGAATCTGGCTCGTGAGGGGGCCAACTATGCCCTGGTAATCGACGTGGACATGGTGCCCAGCGAGGGGCTGTGGAGAGGCCTGAGGGAAATGTTGGATCAGAGCAAGCAGTGGGCGGGCACGGCGCTGGTGGTGCCTGCCTTTGAGATCCGCCGAGCACGCCGCATGCCCACGAACAAGAACGAGCTGTTGCAGCTCTATCAAGTAGGCGAGGTGCGGCCCTTCTATTACGGGCTGTGCACACCCTGCCAGGCGCCCACCAACTACTCCCGCTGGGTCAACCTGCCAGAAGAGACCTTGCTGAGGCCTGCCTACGTGGTTCCCTGGCAGGACCCCTGGGAACCATTCTACGTGGCCGGAGGCAAGGTGCCCACTTTCGACGAGCGCTTTCGGCAGTACGGCTTCAATCGCATCAGCCAGGTGCCCATCAGGGAGAGGCCAGGGGAAACGGGGCGGGAAGAATGGCGGGCTCTGGTAGCTATGAGTAGTCCTGGCCAATGAGGAAGGACAGTCCTAGGTCAGGAGGTGGCTGGATGGTACGGAAGATCCAGGATGCCTCCGGAGGAGTAGGGGCGCTGGAGAGAGGCTTGAGGGATGTCAGTCTTGGCCCTAGAAATGTCATCCGACTTCGCTGACCTGTCTCTCCCCCAACAGGCCTGTGAGCTGCACGTGGCAGGATTTGATTTCGAGGTGCTGAACGAAGGTTTCCTGGTTCATAAGGGCTTCAAGGAAGCTTTGAAGTTCCATCCCCAAAAGGAGGCCGAAAATCAGCACAATAAGATCCTTTACCGCCAGTTCAAACAGGAGTTGAAGGCCAAGTACCCCGACTCCCCTCGTCACTGCTGAGCCCTTCCCTCCCCTAGTCCGAGAAGTCTCGGCCTCTTCCCTCCTGAGGCCGTCCCTCAGGCCTGACAGGGGTAAGAAATGTCACTCCACTTTGCAGTGGTAGCTGTGGTGTTGGAACACTGGACTTGAATATGGGGTGCTGGGATCAAGTCCTAGCTTTACCACTAACTAGCTGTGTGGCCTTGAGCAAATCCCATTTCCTCTTTGAGCCTCAGTTATCCCATCTGTAAAAAGGGAGGTGAAAAATACCTACCTCACAGAACTGTTGGGAGGCTCAGATGAGATGCTACATGTGAAAACATTCTGTAAGCTTCGTACAAATGTGAAGTATTATTAATATTATTACAGTGTTGTTGTTATTATTATTATTATTAACAATCTTGGGTGGGTGGGCAGTAGGAGAGCAAAAAGTATGAATGGGGCAGAACTGGGAAGTCGGAGTACTTAACAAAATGGGACTTTTTGGAAAGAAATCAGACGGAGGCGTTGAAGTCACTTTTTAGCTTTCGGGCAGAAGCCTAAACTTCCCGGTTCTTCCAGGCCTCCGCCTTCAGGAGCTGTAGAGGAAGGAAGGGTCTGCAGGTTCTTTGCCAGATCTGTACCCTCGAATAGGCTGGGCTGGGTTATTTGCCTACCGGTGACCGTATGTAAATAAATGAGTGTTCACACCTACAGCTGGCTCCATTACTCTCCTGAACCCGGCGGGCGGGGGTGGGGACGCGGGTTCTTCCCTTTCACGCGAGGGGCGTGGGGACGGGGGAAGGAGGTAGCTGCGACCAAAGGGCGCGGACAGCAGAGCACGAAAGCCACACGGGCCTTCTCCACCCGCGGAAGGCCTGCGCGAATTTCGGCCGGTTGCTATGGAGACCGGCCCCGCGGTATCCCAGCATGCCTAGCCCCCAGCAGCCCAGCTGTGAGCTCCGCGACGGGCGCCTCCTGATTACGTATACGGAAGTGCGGCGGGCCCCGCCTCCCGGAGAAGAGGGAAGGGCTCGACGCTTCCGGGAGCCTGGCAGCCGTGGGCACCTCTTAGGGAGCTTCAGACGTCAGCCCGGAGGCCGCACTCCCCGCGGTGCGTAACGCTGCTCACGGCGCCTGGCTCGGCCTCTCTGGCCCGTGGGTCGCAGCTGGCCCAGTCAGGGCGGAAGCGGAGACTTAACGGGCGGGACGCGTGCGGCGCCGCGGGGCCAGTGATTGCCCCGCCCGCGGCGCCGGCGCAGACGGGGATGGAACCGGGCGGGAGGGTCCTGGCTCGCCGCGCCGCGCAGGGTCTGGGTTGGCTTCCTCGAGGGAGAAAAATAGGCCTTCCGTGGAGGTCTACCCTCGAAATGCTTGCTCACTTTCTAAAAATAGAAATTAAGTGTGCACAGAGCCTTTTCCATCCCTTATCCCGTGCAATCCGGACAACACTCTCATAGCAATGGTTATCCTCTTTTTGCGTCCGGGATAATAAGGAGGGGACATAGTGATTGAACTTAGCTCACTCATGAGAATCAGAGACAGCTGGAGACAACGTAAATATATATATGTATATATAAAACAACGAAGAGGGATTGCAAATTTTGGGAACTGCCGGTACTGGGGCTTGACAATGGGAAGGATGAGGCTGGTTTGGAGAGCTGAGGGTTTTCAGGTCAAGTTCAGATCATTTGTACTGTGAGCCAGTTATTTTACACAACTAGAATTGGTGTCAAGGAAAGTTAATACTTTGTGGTTTGCTACCAGTATGGGGCCCCGGGGCAACCAAGAAATAAATGCTTGGCCTGAAAGAGTGTGCTTTAATTTTTTTTAATGTTTATTTTTGAGAGAGAAAGAGCATGAGCAGGGGAGGGGTATAGAGAGAGGGAGACACAGAATCCGAAGCAGGCTCCAGGCTCTGAGCTGGCAGCATAGAGCCCACCGAGGGGCTTAAACTCACAAACCGTGAGATCATGACCTGAGTCGGACACTCAGCTGACTGAGCCACCCAGGAGCCCCAAGAGTGTGCTTTGTTTAATTTGTATTTCCACCTCCACTAGCCGTGAAGTGAGTAAGTCCTGTGCTGGATGAATAAGGTATATGTGCATCCCTGCCCTTGTGAGGCTTACAGCCTGGCTGGGCAGACATGGAAATGGGCAGAGAGGACCTGAAAACAAATAGGGTTTCCCGGAGGGAGTGGTGTCTGTGTGCGTCTAAAGGACTGCAGAGCCGTGCCCAGAGACGGTGGAAGAACATGACTGTGAAATAGAAGCTTCCAGTAGGTAGAGACACTATCTGTTGAGAGGACTATTCAGGCTTCCTCTTAGGTGACCTCTTGGCAGCATGTGGCACTGTCACCGCTCCTTCCTCCTGCAATTCTTTCTCCCCGTGACTGAGTTTGTCCTCCCCCACCTCTCGCTAATTTTCTTCTCCTTTGCAGGGGTTTCATCATCTGCCCCTTGGGTGACCCTAGGAGTTCCGTCATGGACCCCTTCTCCACACATTCCACCCTGCTGGTTGCACCCTCTCCCAAGGCCTGAAGAACTCACTATATGCTGATGACCATCAGATCTCTGCAGCCCAGACTTCTCTCTAGGCTTAGACGTGGGGGCCCCCAACCCTGCCCTTTGTCTCTCGTTTTGGGGGTCTCTGTCCATGCCATTCACTCTGCTTGGAAAGTTCCCTCCCCAGCCACCCCAGCTCATCTGTCTGCACGCCCTCACTGTTGGAGCAAGCTCCAGGTTGCAATCTGACTGCCCCCTCCTCCCCAGGCTTAACTCTTCTCACACTACAGCACAGTCCACTTCTCTGCCTCTCTCTCCTGGGAACCTGGGAACTTCAGGTCTATCTCAAGTTGTTTATTTGCCCCGTTGTGCACAGCATTTGCCGTAGTGTCTGACGGTACCTGGCATGTGTTAGGCCTCTAATAAGTGTTAGAAGAGTATAAAAAAAGAAGGGATGATTAACAGTGTTCATTGTTGCTGAGAAGTCAACTAAGATAAGCACTAAAACAAGGAGGTCGTCTCTTAAGGCCACATGATTTGCCTCAGCTGAGGGCGACGACAGAGAAATGGCATGGGACACCCTGGGGGGTGAAAGAGTAGGAACAGCCAGAGCCTTGAGAAGTGTAGCTTGGAGGTGGGAGGTGGGGAGCGGTTAAGTGGAATGGGGCAAGGTCTTGGGTTTCTACTGTTTCTAAGTGGCGGGGTAGCACTGAGCACGTCTGAAGTTTCATGGAAAGGAGCTATCAGGAGGGAGAGCTGGAAAAGCAGTGGAAATGGGGACGCTGTTAGCCTGAGGCTCTGACCCAGAGCACCATGAGAGGCCAAGAGGATTGCAGAATGTTCTCCAATAGAAAAGTGAGTCATTCCAGGCAGAGGGGTCAACCGGAAGGTGTGGAGAGGAGGAAGGAGTGGTGTGCTTCACGACTGACCATTAGATGGTGCGGGGAGAAAGATGGACCAGTATAGCCACAAGTTTGGGGCCAGTCCCAGAGGCAGTGGGGAACCCATCCTTGGGGTTTCCCATCTTCTGGACCCTCCCCTTGGCCGGCATTCCGCACACTGGGACCACCAACAGTGTCCGAGGCTACAAGCCTCCCCAAGGCTCCCGGGGCGTCTGGGAGATGTACCAACAGGGCTTGGCTTGACTCCCTGCAGGGCCACTCTCCTGCTGGGAGCTAAGGGCAGTGGCAAGTGATGGTTCCCCTCCTCCTCCCAGAGCCCAGATGCCCGTCCAGCCTCCAAGCAAAGACACAGAAGAGATGGAAGCAGAGGGAGATTCAGCCGCTGAGATGAATGGGGAGGAGGAAGAGAGCGAGGAGGAACGGAGCGGCAGCCAGACTGAGTCAGAGGAGGAGAGCTCAGGTGAGCCCCCCCCCCCCGCCACGTGTGGACACCCCCGTGCCCACCCACTGGGCCCCAGCCAGCCCTGACTGGCCTCTCGTCTCAGAGATGGACGACGAGGACTACGAGCGGCGTCGCAGCGAGTGCGTCAACGAGATGCTGGACCTGGAGAAGCAGTTCTCGGAGCTGAAGGAGAAGTGAGCAGGGGCGTCTAGGGCTGGGTCTTTGCGCTTCTGGGGCGCCTTCTGAGGTGCGGAGGCAGCGGGCCTGGTGCTGGGCAGGGGTAGTGGAGGGCCTCACGCGCGGGGCCCGCCATGGAGCAGGCGCTCGGCCCCGTGTTTAATGGACAAACACATGCTGCCTTTTACTTCCCAGGTTGTTCAGGGAACGACTGAGTCAGCTGAGGGTGCGGCTGGAGGAAGTGGGGGCTGAGAGAGCCCCTGAATACACAGAGCCTCTGGGGGGGCTGCAGCGGAGCCTCAAGATCCGCATTCAGGTGGCAGGTCTGCGGGCTGTCCTGTGCCCTGGAGCCCCTCCCTCTTCCTCTGCCAGAGCCCATGGCTCCCTGTTCCCTTCTCTTCTCCTCCCTGCCCTGCCTGGCCCTGCTCCTGGCTCCCTCTTTTGGATCCCGGGGGCCCTGGCCAAGCAGGGCCTCCCATCTCCCTCCCCCCTGCAGGGATCTACAAGGGCTTCTGCCTGGACGTGATCCGGAATAAGTACGAGTGTGAGCTGCAGGGAGCCAAGCAGCACCTGGAGGTGAAGGGGGTGGGCGCTGGTGAGGTAGGGGAGGTGAGCGGGAGTGGCTGGGCCCTGCCGCCCTGCTGAGCGGCCCCACCCCCTCTAGAGTGAGAAGCTGCTGCTCTACGACACCCTGCAGGGCGAGCTGCAGGAGCGCATCCAGAGGCTGGAAGAGGACCGCCAGAGCCTGGACATCAGCTCTGGTGAGGCTGCCCTGGGCCCTGCTCTGCCCGTCCCCCTGGCCCCCCACCCGGCGGGGCCTCCGCCGCCCTGCCTGCACGAGGGGCCTGGAGGAGGACCTGCGTCCTGGGGTCACTGTGGGGACTAAGTGGAACCAGGCACAGAAAGGACCCGGCCCAGTGCCTGGTGGACAGTGGAGGCTCACAAAGAACGGGTCTCCGTACCTTCCTCGGCCCCTGCTCTCTTTCCAGAACAGGAGCTGTCGTTCCGACGCACCCCCCCGTACAATAGCCACAGTCCCTTCTGTGTCCACGGCGCCTGTGTTTGTATGGGGGCCTAAAGAGGCCAGAATTGTCATTGTCCCACTGTCCCCTAAACAAATGAAGAAACGGTCTCAGCAAAGTGCAGCGACCTTTCTCCCCGGCCTGCACAGCTGTGCCCTCTGGACCTGAGCTCGGCTTCCACGCCCCGGGCCGGGGTGCTCCCTACCGCCCCGGGAAGCGCAGGAAGGGTCAGGGGCTGGTCTGGCTCCCGCGGGGGGCCCAGGCTCCAAGGCCAGGGTGTCCCAGGGGCGCCAGCGCCTCACCCTTAACTCCGGGTCTGGGGGCACAGAGTGGTGGGATGACAGACTGCACGCCGGAAGCAGCACAAAGACTTGGGACTCTCTGCCGCCCAGCAAGAGGAAGAAGGCGCCTCTCGTTTCTGGTATCCTTCTGCCCACCGCCGTCCAATCTGGGCAGGATGTCAGGGGTAGCTCCAGACAGGGGAAGGGGGTGGAGGGACACGGCAGACAGAGTCAGACTACACGCATTTGTCGTCGTTTGGCCTCCCGTGGCCCTGTCCAGGCAAATCCAAGCGTCAGGGAGTTTTTGTGAGGCCCTGGGTCTCTCCTGGGCTGTGTGGACCAGAGAGAAACCCAAGCATCCATTCATTCAGTGACTCCCCATAACTTCCTGAGTGGCATCTCCTTTGAGGCCTTTCTGCTTTTCCCACAACGCCCCATCCAGTACAGGCCCCGGACTTCCCACCACCCCACCCCGGCCCCACTTTCCACCCTCGGAATGCCTTGCTGCCTGTCTCTGCCGGGCTGGTGCTTGTCTCACACGTGACCTCCTCTGTGAAGCCTCTCCTGGTTTTCCTCCAGTGGCTATGGCTTCTCTCTCCTCGGCACCCCCGTGGCCTAAACTGGGGGCACCCACATCCCATAGAGGAGTAGTTCCCTGTCACCTTAGGCATGAGCCCTTTCAGCCCAGGGCCTCCTGCGCCTGTAACTGTCCTGGTGCAGTGCGGTGCGGACGTGAATGGAATTCCATGTCCTGCCCCCCATGCCGGGTGTTCTGGGGTCTCGGGTTCCCGTGGCGCTGGCTGCCCGGTGATGACAGGGAGGGAGGAGAAAGCTGCAAGGCCTTGACTGGTGAATGGAGGTGAGAGCGTGCAGATGTCACATACAGAGGACAGAGCAGATGGTCCCCAGAGGGGAGCGTGAGACCAAGGTGGGGGTTGTCTCCACAATGGAAGGGATTGGAATGTATGTGAAGAAGGGGCCAGATGAGGGGACGAAATAGAAGGAGCAAGGCCCTGAGTGGGTGGGAGGGGTGTTGTCCTGCTGACCTCTAAACTGGAGAGAAGAGGTGAGGGGGAGCCCAGGGTGGGTAGGGGTGTAGCTCCATACCCCCCATAGGCCTCACCCCAAGAACCTGGGAACCAGGAGGTAGGAGGCAGAGCCTGCTTTCTAACCCTAATCCTGAGCCCCTTCCCCAAGGGCAGAGGCCTGTCACCTACCCCTCCACTGGGCTTCCTGCTTTCCTTGACCCCCGCTGCAGGTCCTTACATCGTGTACATGCTGCAGGAGATCGACATCCTGGAGGACTGGACGGCCATCAAAAAGGTGCGGCCACCTGCTTCCTTCCGCCCGTGCTTCTTCGACGCCTGTTGTGGTCTCGCAGGCTTGCCACACGCGGGCTCCCTGAGGGCCTGGAGCTCTGCTCGCCCCGCAGCACGTCCTGCCTTCAGCCTCAGTCCCCTGGCGTTGCCGCCAGCTCACAGGCCCCCCTTTGCCTGAGGCTTCCCTGTAAGAGGGACCTTTTAGTCTGAGTCGGCCCTCCTTCCGGGGCAGGCTTTGATGGGGGCAGGAGGGAAGGCGGGAAGGCAGCCGGCCTGGGCCGGCCTCAGACGGGAGACCACACCACAGCCTTGCCTAGAAAGGGTCTCATGCTCCCCACCCATGTCGATGCCACACTGACCTGGCAGCCCCCCGCCCCAGAGAGAGAGCCGATGTGGAGGAGGGCCCTTGCCAAGCTGGAGGCAGGCTCTCAAGGGGGGCTTTCTTCTCACCCATCCAGGCTAGGGCAGCTGTGTCCCCTCAGAAGAGAAAAGCAGATGGTAAGAAGCACAGAGGAGCGGCTCAGCCTCCTCCTGCGCACCCCCAGCCCCACCTCCTAGAAAGAGGCCATGCTGTATCAGATCCGTGGCCGCAGCTAGAACGGTCTGGGTCTGAGGGCACTTTGGGAGTTTGGGGAGCGGGAGCCAGGGTGGGGGTGGGGATGCTCTAGGTCGATGGGGCAAGGGGGTGGAGCCCCCCGCAACCAGGACTGGTCAGGGAGGGCTGGAATGCTAGGCCCTAGCAGCCCGGGTGGGCCGGGTGGGCCCGGGGCTGGAGAGCTGCCCTGGGCCAGACCCAGGCCGCTCCTCCCAGCCCTCCACAGGCGATGGGGCTCCTCCCTTCTTGGTTCACCTTCTCACCTGCAGCGCCTTTCCCCTCCTGCATTCCCTCAGGACCATGACCCTGCTCTGCTGTTCAGAGCCAAGGGTCCCCTCCAGCGGCTGGCAGCAACCCTGGGATTTGCATTTTCCTGCTGTGGGAAGGCGGACTGACAAACCCTTCAGGGCTAGGCAGCCAGCTCCCCAGCGCTGCTGCCGGGCCTTCCCCTCCAGCCACCACTGGTCTGGACTCCTCTGGCCTCCTGGGAGGCCTGCACAGCCGTGGCCCAGAGCTGCCCTAGCCGGGCAGGATGGTCTCTTCCGTCCGCAGTGAGCCCACCAGCTCCCCCTCCCGAAGGCCTCCTCTGTCCCCTCCCAGACAAAGAACGTGTGGCTCATCTAAAGCCAAAGCAACACCCTCCCTGCTGACCTCGGACCAGTCCCTGAGCCAGTGATCTGGGCCCCACTTCGTGGGAACTCTGAGCCAGAAATTCTACTTTGGGGGCCTGTCTCTCCTGGCTGTTGCTGGAGGTGAAAAGGCAGGCTCCCCGAGTCTTCTCAAGGAGGTTCTTGGTACCTGTCTCCCAGATTTCAGGGACTGGAATTAAAGCCTTTCCTGGGACCCTGGCATGACTTACGTGTGTTTGATTTACCTTCAAGGGAATCAGGGCTCCCATGGCGGGGAGGGGTTCCTGAGTCAGGCAGTCTCTTCTCAGGTCCCTGGTACCTCTCCCTACAGCAGGAGCCTACCAACTCTGAGTTGGGGTATAGACAGGGTAAGGGGGAACTCTCCCACCCTACCCCCCAGAGGGGGGGACTGGGCCCTGGATGACCAGGGGCTCGGGAGCAAAGCCTGAAGCAACATGTGGCATGGGCAGACCACGTGTCCTGGGGTGGGGAAGGGGGCTGTGTGCTCTGTGCTTGGAGACTGGGTCATGTCTGCACCTGCCCCAGTCACTTGGCAGATTGGTAAGGCAGGCTGCCAGGGCCTGTGTGCGTAGGAGGCAGCCGGCAGCAGCAGCACCGTGTGCTGACGACCTCACAGCCAAACTCCCCCCCCCCCGTTTAGCGCCAAGTGCTAGAACCACCCCCAGAACCTCAGTTAAGCAAAAGGGTTAGTTTCCATGGAGACACAGCATCCTTTCTCCATGACAACCTGAAATTCCGAAACCCAAGTTGGGCTGGGGAATGAGTCAGTCATCTGTGACCGGTAGGGGGTGCTCTCCCACAGGGCTGACCCCAAGACCACGCACTGATGAGCAATTGACCACAGACTTAAAGGTGCCCCAAAGGCAAGACTTGGGCCTGTGGGGACCCAGAAGGGCCCGCTTAACCCCTTCCTGCCTGCCTGTGTGCTTTGAGGAGGCTGGAAAGGCCTCAGGATGCACTGTGCGGAGGCGGCAGCGGCAGCTGGGGCTCTCAGAGTGGCACTTGTGCGGAGGGCATCCCTGTCCTCCGAGACTGGGCCCAGAACAGAGAAGAAGTGGGCACTGCCCAGGCTGAGTGGTGGACACACAAGAGTTAACTGGCGGGGCGTGACAGGGCGATCCGCCCTCAGGAAGTGTTACTCACCGCCGGGAATGTGAGCGCGCTCTTGCCTTGGGGGCTGGATTCTCTTCCTGAGTCCTGGGAGAAACCGGGAGAAACCGAAGGAGCTCTCAGCCATGGAGACTCCTGGGGAGCCAGAAGCAGGCCCTCTCGGAACCCCAAGCCTGTCCAACTTCGCACCTGGGCACCTGGAGAGACAAAAGTTAGTGAAGTTGGAAGGGCAGCCCAGTGGGGCAGGGAGGGACGGGCAGCCTGCCCCAGGGCAGAGGAGGGGGAAAGGGTTGGGCAAGGGTCCCACCCCTGCTCAAATCTGGTGACCACCCCTAGGCCAGCCCGGGACCCGCCCTACGACGTGCCTGGGGCCAGCGGGGGGCTGCCAGGTGGACCCCAGCGGCCCGGGCGCACCGTGAGCCTGCGGGAGCGCTTGCTGCTCACACGGCCCGTGTGGCTGCAGCTGCGAGCCAACGCAGCGGCCGCGCTGCATGTGCTGAGGACCGAGCCCCCGGGGGTGAGTCTGGCCCCTGACCCTAGGACTGGCCAGCGGAGGGTGGCGGGGAGAGAGGCTGGACACAGAGGTCCCGAACCCGCGACCCGTGTCCCTTACAGACGTTCCTGGTGCGGAAATCTAACACTCGTGGGTGCCAAGCCTTGTGCGTGAGGCTGCCGGAGGCCAGCGGCCCCTCCTTTGTGTCTAGCCACTACATCCAGGAGAGCCCTGGGGGTGAGCGGGACTGGCCTGGGGGGCAGGGGCTGGAAGCAGGCAGGGCAGGGCACAGGGCTGTTCCCCAGAGAACAACCGCGCTTCCCATCTCTCAGGCGTCTCCTTGGAGGGCTCAGAGCTCATGTTCCCAGACCTGGTCCAGCTCATCTGCGCCTACTGTCATACCCGGTGAGCCTGGCCGCAGGGCGCCTGGTGTCCGTTGGTCCCTGCTCCTTGGGACACCCTGTCCTCCCAGCCCCTCTGGGTCCTGCTAGCCCCCAGAGCCCTGAGCATCCCTCACCCCTGGCTTTCTGTTTCCCTCTCTGGCCTCAGGGACATCCTTCTGCTCCCACTCCAGCTCCCCAGAGCCATCTGCCAGGCAGCCACCCACAAGGAACTGGAAGCCATCTCCCATCTGGGCATTGGTAAGGGGTTCTCTGCTACCCATTGCACAGATGGACAAGCTGAGGCCAACAGGGAAAGAGAAGGCACACGGGCACACAGCCTGAGCCTGTGCTTTTCCCTCCGTTGGGCACCCTCCCCAAACCTCCCTGAGGCCCCAACTGCTTTCTCTTCCCTAGAGTTCTGGAGCTCCTCCCTCAATGCCAAGGCTCAGCCGGGCCCTCCTGAAGGCCCGCTGCTGCCCCGGCTGAAGCCCCGGTCCCCGCAGGAGCTGGACCAGGGCACAGGAGCCGCCCTGTGCTTCTTCAATCCCCTGTTCCCAGGGGACCTGGGCCCCACCAAGCGGGAGAAATTCAAGAGGAGCTTCAAAGTGCGTGTGTCCACGGAGACCTCCAGCCCTCTGTCTCCACCTGCCGTGCCACCTCCCCCGGTCCCCGTGCTGCCGGGGGCAGCCCCCACCCAGACAGAAAGGTTACCCCCTCACCAGCTTCTGCGGAGGGAGAGCTCCGTGGGGTACCGTGTGCCAGGGAATGCCAGCCCCAGCCTCCCACCCCTGCCCTCCCTCCAGGAGGTAGACTGTGGCTCCCCCAGCAGCTCAGAAGAAGAGGGGGCGCCGGGCTCTGGGGGAAGCCCAGCCACCTCACCCCGCCTGGGCCGCCACCGCCACCGGCCCCTGCTTCGGTCCATGAGCGCCGCCTTCTGCTCCCTGCTGGCGCCGGAGCGGCAGGTGGGCCGGGCCGTGGCGGCCCTGGTGCAGGACCGACACACAGCTGTCGGCCAGCTGGTGCAGGACCTACTGACCCAGGTGCGGGCCGGCCCGGAGCCCCGGGAGCTGCAAGGTGTCCGAGAGGCGCTGAGCCGGGCTCGAGCCATGCTAAGTGCAGAGCTGGGCCCTGAGAAGCTGCTACCGCCTGAGAGACTGGGTGAGACTCTGGCCCAGGCTTCACAGGCTCAGCCCATCTCTCCGTTAATGCCAGCTCTGCCCAGTCCCCCCTCCCCCGCGCCGCTGTTCTCCCCAAGATTCCCCCTCCCTTTCATCTCTCTCGCTCCCCGACTACACGCCCCTCCCTGGGACGCTGGCTCCCATTCGCCCCTGGTTCCCCTGACCCGGGCCTGCCTCTCCTCCGCAGAACACATCTTGGAGAAGTCTCTGCATCGCTCCGTGCTCAAGCCTCTCAGGCCCATCCTGGCGGCCCGCCTGCGGCGCCGGCTTTCTGCCAATGGCTCCCTGGGCCGCCTGGCTGAGGGCCTCCGCCGGGCTCGGTCCCAGGGCCCTGAAGCCTTCGGGTCCCACTTGAGCCTGCCCTCCCCGGGAGAGATGGAGCAGGTGCGTCAGAAGCTGCTGCAGCTGCTCCGTGCCTACTCACCCAGCGCCCAGGTCAAGAGGCTCCTGCAGGCTTGCAAGCTGCTCTACACAGCCCTGAAGACCCAGGCCGGTAGGCCCCCTCCTACCACTCTCCGCCAGCCCCTGCCGAGTCGGGGGGGGGGGGGGGGGGGGGGGGGGGGGGAGGGGCGGGCAGAGATTCCAGAACAGCAGGGGGGGGGGGACGGATCCAACACTCCTATCTCACAGATGGTGCAACTGAGGCCCAGAGTCCAGCATCCTCTCCACAGCCCCTTGTCTGTGGTTGCTATAGAGACCACATCACCCAAGGCCCAGCGGGTGGAGGGGAGGGTCACTGTCCGAGACAGGGAGTGGATACCGCCCCTGGGACCCCAGAGGAATCTGAAGCTCCCTGTCTACCGCCCCACAGGGGACAGTGCGGGGGCAGATGAGTTCCTCCCCCTGCTGAGCCTCGTCCTGGCCCAGTGCGACCTTCCCGAGCTGCTGCTGGAGGCTGAGTACATGTCAGAGCTGCTGGAGCCCACCCTGCTCACCGGAGAGGGTGAGGGAGCTCCTCCACAGGCCACCTCCCTGTCTGTGGGGGGCCGGGGGGCCTTAGAGCCGCATGGCCCCGAGCAAGTGGTGGGGCGGAGAAGGGTCACCTACCTTCAGCCTGAGCTACATTCTTCCCCTCGTGTCCCAGGCGGTTACTACTTGACCAGCCTCTCAGCCAGCCTGGCTCTGCTGAGTGGCCTGGACCAGGCCCCCACGCTCCCCATGAGCCCCTCGCAGGAGCTGCAGCGCTCCCTCAGCCTCTGGGAGCAGCGCCGCCTGCCTGCCACCCATAGCTTCCAGGTAATGGGGCCTCCACATCGCTCACCATCCCCACCCCCACCCAGCCCTGGGGAACAGGGTGGGGGGCAGGGGTACAGGTTGGTTCTGGCACCTTCCTGCATAATCCCCTTTTCCCAGTGAGACCCAGCAGGGGAAAAGCTGGTCCTACATCACCCTGCTGGAGAAACAGCACCCCGTGTGGACCCAATGTCAAAGCCTAGCCTTTCTAGACAGGGTGCATTCCATGCGCTCCGTGCTCCAGGGGCTCAGCCCCGCAGCTTCATAGAAACTCCGAAGTAGGACCATTGTTATCCCCATTTTACAGATGAGGAAGCAGACAAGACACGGGGAGGGAAAGGGACACGGGTGGCAAGCTCAAGCCCCAAGTCCTGGCTTCCAGCTCCCAACTGGGGCTCTGCCCTCCCCTGGAGTCAGGCTGCCAGCCATGCTCCGCCCCCCCCGCCACCTTCCTCTCCTCGGTTAAGAGTTCAGACGTCGACGTCGTAGCCAGATCCTGGGTTCAAGTCCAGACGGGCTCTGCTACTTTCTGTTTGCAGGAGCGTGGGCAAGTTGTGTCACTCCTTTGTGCCTCATTTTCTTTATCTATAAAACGAGGTAATAGCACTTACCTCGTGGGGTGGATGTAAGGCCTAAATGAGTTAATGCAGGACGCGTGCTGAGGGCACGAGGTAGTATGGTCGTTAGGCCCCCGGGGCGTGCGGGGCGTCCTCCCGGCCTGCCCGCAGCTACGACCCACTAGCCCATGCAGCTCTCTCCCTTCCTCAGAGCCCTGCTTGAGGCTCACCTTGTCCCAAAAGCTTCTATCACTTGGTTCTACCCCTGGATTTATACCACCCACCCTGTCCCTGCAGGGTCTGCACCGGGGGCCTCAAGCTCAGTGGCCAGTTATATGCCAGGCAGGATTGAGCTCTCGTTTTCGCTTCTCCTCCTGCACAGCACCTCCTCCGAGTAGCCTACCAAGACCCCGGCAGTGGCTGTACCTCCAAGACCCTGGCTGTGCCCCCAGGGGCCTCGGTTGCCACCCTGAACCAGCTCTGTGCCATGAAGTTCCGAGTGACCCAGCCTGACACATTCGGCCTCTTCCTGTACAGGGATCAGGGCTACCACCGCTTGTCGCCCGGAGCCCTGGCCCACGGGCTTCCCACAACCGGCTACCTCGTCTATCGCCGGGCAGAGCCACCTGAGACCCACGGGGCCGCGCCCGGGGCTACAACAGAGAAGGACAGTGGGGAGCTGGAGGCAGGGGGCAGGGAGGAGGAGGGAGGGGGCCAGGGAGATGGGATCATCGAGGTCAAAGCGGGTACTGGGGACAGCAGAGGAGAGGCTGAGACAACTGCCGAGAGGGTGCAGGGAAGTGTGGGCCAGGCCAGGGGGGGCCCTGCCCAGCCGGGGGTGCCAGAGTCCCAGGGAAGCAGAGCAGCAGAGGAGTAGCTGGGGGTGGCTGAACTGTCATTTGGGACAGAAAACCCTGAGCTTGCGGGGAAGGCCTTTTAGAGTCGGCGGCCATCAGCCCCACCCCTCTTAGCCTTCCCCACCCCCCAGGCCGCTCCTGCGCCCGCCACCAGCTCTGATATTTGTGTCTGTGGTCACACCTGCTGGGGTGGTCCCTGGACCAGGCGCATCTGAAGCACTGGAATAAAGCTGAGGGGGTGTAAAGGGCCTTTTCTCTCCCAGCTGGAGGTCAGCCAGCCTTTAGTGGTGAGTGTGCCCGATCTCTGGCAAAGGACCGGGGCAGGCAGCCCATCCATGCTGGGGGCTTCAAAGCCCTGAAAGGCTTCACCAACTCCTGGGAGCCCAGTCCAGCCCTAGCCTACAGAAAGGGGTGGGGGGGAGGGGCGCTGGCAGCTCCCAACTTTCGTGTCCTCACCTGTAGAGCGGAGGTGCTCTTGCTGCCCTGCCTTCTCGCAGAAGTCCTCCAGGGGCACGTGGACGGTTTTGCTCCAAAGCAGAGCTCAGACTGGAGAGAAGGGCAGGGAAGGAGGTGGGATGTTAGCAGTACCTGCCTCCCAAGGGGTCTGTTGTCTGTATTCACTGAAGGTTCTTGTCAGCCTGGGGGAGATCCTGGAGATCAGGCTCCGCCCAGGGAGCACCTAGGCCCCAGTCTTTTCTCGGGATGAGAAATCCTGCCAGGCACTCTCGCATCCCATGGGGAGATGGGCTTCCGAAGTGGAAGTGGTGGTGCCCGGAGTGGTGCCTGGAAACCATTTTCTCTGCACTTAACTCTTTTGGACCTCACAAGAGCTTTCCGGGCAGGCTGGGCATGGCTTATCACACACGGAGGCTTGGGAAAATGACTCCTGAGATATCGCACAGCGGCCAAACCCGGGTGTCAGGCTCCAACTACGCCCTCTATTGTAAAACACCAATAAATTAACCCTAAAGGCCCCACAGCCCTGAGGGGTCCCAGAGCAGGAAGGAAATCTGAGCAAAGACAATGCCAGTAACGGCCACAAGGGGGTGCGGGTGGCCCAGGAAGTGGCAGAGGGGGGTAATGCAGAGGGGTGAGGGCGTCTCAGGGGCAACCTGGGGTCCGTGCAGGGGCCGTCAATGCAGGCTCCCTTGGAGTCTGGGATCTGGGTGAGACAAACTTCATAGGGATCACTCCCTCAGAAGGAACTGTCCCCTGGTGGAAGGAGGAGCCAGCCAGTCTCTGGGGCACTCCCTCAGGTGCTGAGCACAAGGGACATCAGACCACCACGTGTCAGGTGGTCATGACAGCTAGAGGTAGGAATCCTGGACATTGGGATTTCAGCCAATCCAGATATAGATACCAGCAAATCTGGGCTCAGGGCTCCCAAATTTCTCACTAGGCCACCAGCAACCCTCCCTCTCCACTTCCACTCCCCACTCCAGGCTTCTTGCCGGTAGGAAGTCTCCTCTCTTTCCTTTTGTACCCCCCCTCTCCCTATCCCAAGCCCACCCCAGTGCCTCGAACCTGGGCACCCCAGAGGCCCCCAATAAATGTTGTCCCTTGATTGGCGTTTGACAAATAAGAGTGAAGGGCAGTGAGGCGGGAAGCTGGGAGGTTAAGGGAGGGCTGGGTTCTGGGAACCAAACACAGGATGTCTCAAGTTCAGTTCCAGAGGAAGACCTAGAACGGTTGCCAGGGGTGCTCAGAGAACCCCAGGGCAGGATGTGGAGCTCCTCTCACGGGAACTAGGACCGGCAGAGGCTTCTGAGCCCCTGCAGGCCCCGCCTAACCCCTTCTGCGCTCAAGCTCAATCTCAGTTCCGGGCTCCGGGAACTCAACACACCCCTAGCAGTGGCTCCGCAGAGCACCGGCACACCCGCCCCGCCTGCTCTCCAGCCTTTTGGTTTATCAAGACATTCTGATTGGTCAGGGGCCCAGGCCAGGTAAATCAGCGGGATCAAGGGTCAGAATGCAGGGGCTGGGACTCCTTGCAGGACAGGCCATGATAGATTGGTCTAAGACTGATCTCATTATCCCCATTTTACAGATGAGGAAACAGATTCGCTCAGGGAAAGTGGCTTATTACAGGGCAGAGAGCTGGCTCTGTGGAGCTTCAGATTCTGCAATCCTCCAAAACAGAAGGAAGAGCTCCTTTACTCATCCCCTCAGCAATAATCTATGGCGTCTGAATGGACCAAGCACCAAGCACCCCCAGCCCCAGCCAGAGGGAAACAAGTGTGATTTGGCAAAAACAGCACGCTGTGTGCTGGGATTCAGTCTTGCCCCTCCCTCGCCCCTGCCTCCTACCTTTGGCCTTCTGGAAGAGGAAGTCACCTGAGAGGTGTCACACCTTGCCCAGCACCCATTGCTGCAGATCAGGGCTAGAAACTTGACATTCGGCTCCCACGGAGCAGCCAAGTCATTTCCTCACTTGGAAATGTTGCTCTTATTCCCCTCGAGTCACTGCAGCGCTCTGTGTGAGTTTATTGTCTGTCTTCCTCACCAGGCCAGAGCCAGCTCGGCTCTAAATCTCGAGGGCCTAGAACAATGCCTGGCCCGGAAGTGGCACTTAGTGGACATACGTAGAATGATTGATTCGGGAAGGCTCAGCCTAAAGAGTTGGTCCGAGTTCCTGGGGCTGGGGCGGCGCATTCTCCATCGCTGCCGCCAGGGGGCGATCAGGCCCATTCCCAGGCACTCGCCTGGCCCCCTGCTGGCGGGAGGCCACCCAGGGACCCACTGCGCTCAGAGGGCCTGAGCCCTGCCAGGTGCCGGGAGGGAAAGCATCGCCACAGTGGGGCCTTGGCACCGTCCTGAGAACGCGAGTCCTGCCAACGGAGGTTGGTGGGAGGGGAGCCAGGAGCCAGGGCCTGGGGAGTGGGGACCCTGGGAGGGGCGGGGAGAAAGGCAATCGTTGAGACCCACGCCTCCACCCTCACTCACCTTCAACACAGAGCATTTAACACCCTGCCACGGTCTTGTGACCCATGTCCTTCCCCCCCCCCCTCAGTTTGACACAGAGAAACATTGTGACTCACATCTGCACACAGAATGTGTGACACCCTGCATCCCACGGTCGTGTAACACCCGAGCGCCCCCCAAGCCTTAACAGGAACATGCTGAGTGTTAGGAACACCTGGAAACTGTTAGGCATTCATTTCCCTGCGGGATGGGACACAGTGACCCACACAGGCCCCTCCTCCGAGCCACACCCTGACACAGACCTCTCTAGATCTGCAGACTCAGAGACACTCCTTCAACACACTCCGTCTCGGGTTCAGAATGTGACTCCGTGACAAACACACACACAGGGACAGGCTGACACAGAGACATGTGATGAGTGGTATGCAGGGACTCCACGACACACACCTACCCATGTGGCACCGCTGCTGCCACAGCCCAGTCCCCTGCTCCAACACGGCACACGCATGGGACAAGTACACACACACACACACACACACACTCACACGCACACGCACACGCGCACATACTTTTATACTTATGATCATGCAGAAGTCCAAGCCCTTACCCTGACTAATCTCACCCCAGCCCTGGCCTATCTCTGCCACCACTCAGCCATTCCAGCCTGTGATGGACCCTGGTGGGGACTGTGAGATGCCGAGAAGACCCCCGTGGGGGGCGTGGCAACCCCACTGGCCAGGGAGGAGACAGAGGCCGGCAGTATTGGGCGGGGAGGCCTGAGCTCATCAGATTCCAGCCTGAGTGATTCACGGGAAGCCTGGGGAGGATCTGAGAGGGTGGGGGTAATGGCCCAGGGGCTGGGGTTTTGGGGGCCTGGGTGGGCTTCAGACTCAAAGGTCTTGGGTCCAGAGCAAGCCTCTAGTCCTGGGAGGGGGCTTCCTGAGGAGTGGCCCAGCCTGAAGGGGTGTCTGTTGGGTCTGGCCCCTGGGAGGGGCTTAGGACACAGAGCTGAACCGCAGGATGAGACAATCGGCCCCTCCCGTCCTCCCCACCCGGGGCCTGGGCCCCTGACCCCAGGTCTTCCCAGCCCTAGCAGCTGGGTGTCTTTAGCAGGGGTTAGGCCAAGGGTGGGGGGCAGGGGTGGAGTGACCTTCACGGCCATCTTGGCCTCCGGGGCCCTCAGGCAGGCAGCGGGGGTGGGATGGAGCTGACTGGTGGAGTCCGGGCTGACAGGGTTACCGACCCCCGCTGCTCTGCCAGGCGAGGCCTCTGCCAGACAGCAGAGAACACACGGCTGTCCCAGCGCCAGGGACATCTTCGTGCCGAGACGGAGCTCTCCACTCCTGCCACCTCCTGAGGGCCCTGCCTCCCTGGCTGGGCCGATGCTCAGGGGACCCAGCTGCTCCTGCAGGGTGACAGGAAGAAAGGACGGGGCTGGAAGCAGGACAGGGGTACAGGAAGTGCCTTTCTTGGAAGTCTGCACCAAAATAGCCTGTTCTGTCCCTACTCTGGGTCTCAGTGTCCCACGGGGGGAGGGGGGGAGATATGCGTCACCAAGGAGACCCTTGCCAGGGAGGGGCCTGAGCTGACCTTAATCTGGCTTTTGCTCACTCCCTTCCTCCCCTTTCCTCCCCTCCCCCCCCCAAGCCTGCCTCAGGCTCTGCTCCACTTTGAAGTCCTAACATAAATATCATGTCTGCTTGGGTTCCCCTTCCCGGCCTGGTCACAGCCCCCAGACCTGGCTTCCACCCCAGCCGGCCCTGGGGGTGCGTGCCGGGGGAGAGGAGGGGGGCCCGGACCACCCAGGGAAGGTGGCGAGCCAGAGACGCTGGAAGAGGAGTGGGGAGACGGGGCAAGACACCAGAGACAGGGAAGTGGGCAGAGAACAGAGAGACAGACCCCAGAGACCAACAAGGTGACCACCTGGGGACAGAAGAAGAGACAGAGAGACCCCAGAGAGTGACAGGAGCTGCTGGAGATGCCTGACACAGAGAGGAAAGAGAGAGGAACAGAAAGAGTGGGAGGGACAGTGAGACTCGAGAAAGATCCCTGGGGCAGTGAGGGGGCAGGAAGACCAAGGAAAGTTCCAGGGTGAGGTGGAGACGGGGAGGCTGACAATGGGGTAGCAGTGGGAAGGACATGGTGGAAAAAGAAACATCTCTGGTGACAGAGTGACCAGCCATCCTTGTTGGCCCAGGGCTAAGGGGGTCCCCAGCATCTAGAACTTACAGTGCGGCAGCAGCAGAGTCCTCGGCAAAGCAGGACTGGCTGGTCACTCTAGGGAACAGGTCTCTGCCAGATGCCTCGGGGGGCCACAGAATCCTCGCCCAGTTACCCTTCCCCTGGAGGAGGAAGCCGCAGCCTCACAGCCAAGGGGCCCTAACAGAGGAAGCACAGAAACAGCGAGGGCCAGGAGAGCAGCCGTCCCCTCCTGGGGTCCCCAGACTTGGGTCCAGTCCCTGCTCTGCCTCTGCCCTGTGACCTGGGGCAAGGCTTGTCCCTCTCTGAGCTGTGAGTGCACCGAACAGAACAGCCGGGCCCTTCTAGCTCTGAGGTGAGCTCCAGGACTCCCTTCCTCGTGGGCAGATGTGGCTGGATGTTCAGGTCCGGCATCTGCCAGGAGAGGGAGGACTGGGGCCCTAGCTGTTTCCAGGCTGGGCGATCCAGGGCCAGCCATATGTCTCTCCCCTCACAGGTGTGGGCCTTGGGGACACGCACGTGTCACCCAGCTGCGCATACCCTCGGCAACGCCAGTGCCACACCAGCACACGCAGTCACATGCACGTGGTCACGTACAGGCACCCGGGTACACACACCAGCAGGCCCAGTCTCTCTCCACGGTGGGCTCCACCCCCCATCCTCCCCCCAGCTGTCAGAGTCCTTTACCCCCAGGGGCCAGGCTGGACGACACCCTTTCCTCCCAGGCCCCACCTTCTCCAAGCCTCTCTCTCCCAGCCTCTTCCTGCGGTCTCTCCCATCCAGAAGCACCCAGGGTGGGGCACCAGCACGTGGGGAGGAGAAGTCGGCCCAAATCGTGCCCTCCCCCCAGAATCTGCCCTGGGACCTCCCCCACCTCCCTGCCTGTGGCTCCCACCCAAGACCAGGCGCCTCCTGGCCCACCAGTTGGCCCTTCCTCCTGACAGCCTGAAGGCTGGGGTGGTTTGGGAAGAACTTAGAAATGGAGGGAGGTAGGGGGATGGGGACAAAAGAAAAAAGAGGAAAGGAGGTGATTTGTACACAGAGCAATGTGCTGGCTCAGCAGCAGGCTGTGCCAAGGTTCTCGGCGCCTGCCCAGGGGGCGCCCCCCAATCATGCTCAACACCCCCACCCTGGCTGTTCCACTGGGCTCTCTTCAGGCCAACCCCTCTGCAGGCCGCCTGCACCCCCACCCCCACGGGCCCACACATCGCATCCAAAACCACTGTCTGGCTTGTCCCAGTAGCTGGAAGACACGTCTCCTTCTGGGGAAGTGGGCTTCTGTATTCATGCCAGTCGTGAGGTGAGCTCTCCCCATATGGGCCACGATCAGAGCAGAAAACTCCAGCCCCCTAACCCACACTGTGGGCCGAGCTTGGTGTCCTGAGCTGTCTCCGTCCCTGCTGGGAAGACACAATGGCCTCGGCCCCAA